AAGAAAAAAAAAACACGCACACAAACCCACTCCTCATAGTTATTTTAAAAAGAATTTTACCATTCACAAATTTACTTTTCTCAGTGATCAGAGCTATCACAAGATTTTCAGACAAACTGAAAAAGTTGCAACTTGTAAGAAATAATGAAAAAGAAAAAGTAAAAAAAAAAAGGAGATAAAACTTTACATGATTTAAGTTCAAATTTAAATAAACATTACCAATCACATCAGCTTCACAAAGATGGGAAAGGCTTTGAAACCCCAAAGATTGAATAATAGGATCTTGACTCTCAATGCAAGCCTGTAAAATTGAAGGGAAGAAGAAGCATTTAGAACTGCAGGTGAATGACAAAACAGAGAGCAGCTCTTCAGAAATTCATACCGAAACAGACAAGATAAGGTCCACACCCCTGTCAGGATCCTTTCTGCAGACATCCCGAATAGAAACAGCCATACTTATACAGATGTTTCTCTCAGACATGTACTCACTGAATGCTTTTGGAAGTAGTACTCCCTAAATGTCAAGGTAAAGTGCATAAGATTTGAAGACATCATTTGGATCAGTAAAAGTTACTAGGAAGCAAAAATTGCAGGGCACTAGTCAACAACGGGTGGAGTACTGCTAATTTGTGAATTTAGAAGCTTAATAAATGTCAGTAAATCATGGAAACATGCCAGCATAAGTACAGGGACATAAAGCAACCTATTCAACTGTTAGAAAAATAACATGCACATATTTGAGGCTGGCTTAGTCTCTGGTCTAGCACCAGGAGCAAGGTATGAGGAAAATAATGGAGAAAACACGAAAACCCTTACTTGCAAACTCCCAAAGATACGGTCGTTGATCTGCCAGGTTTGGCAAAGCAAACGAGTAGCTGTGGCATATAGCACCCTGAACATGAAATAAACAATTAAAGCAACTTCTGGCAGAAAAAAAATTATAAAAAATTATTGCAACTGCCTAAAGACAATTCTTTAAAACAAAAGAGTTGTGCAACAAAGCATCAAAATAACAATTTTGATAGGATTAAAATAGTTACAGGAAAAAAAAAAAAAAAAGGAGGATGAGAATAGTGTTCCATTCTTTCAGGAAACCATGAAATAACTATGAAGAACAGAAAAACAAGAGGAGGATCAGAATGGTGTTCCATTCTTTCAGTAAACTATGACATAACCATGAAGAACATGTATAACATGTATAAACAATTCTTTTCATATCAGAACACTATTTCACAAGGAGGCATCTCTGCTGCCTTGTTCTTTTGGTGTCACATTACGAGATGGTTAAAAAGCCTCTAAACCTACTAATAGCTTTCATTTTATACAAAGCATGAGCTATAAAGAGCACACACTGTTTTCCACCCTTCTGCAGCATTGGCAAGATAGTTTGAACCACAAGTGGAATCATTGCAGACTGAGATGCGAGTGAAGGAAGCATTCCCAAAAGCTTTGGCTGCAAAAATTATTATACAATAAAGAAAAAAATAATAAGAAACAAACAACAAAAATTAAAACAAATATGTGCTTGAGGAAGTACTAAAGACATTTTTTCTTTTAAAATATGAAAGACATTAAAGTGTGCTCACCAGCATACTCTGCCTATTGACATCTTTTCCAGTGAATATGTTATTATAAAACAGAATGGCTAACAACAAAGTAACTCCCAGCTTAGGATCCATTATGCTGATGGATTTCAAAGAATCTATAGCAGAACTTCCCAATGATGGATGCATTAGCAAAACACCAGAAATTGCACCTAGAAGCAAGGGCATTTCTACGAGTATAAATGATGAAAATAGTTAAATTCAGGTGCCTTCATCTGAACAAACAGAGAACATAGGATTTATATGAAACATACCAGTTAAAAAGGTTTCTTGGAATTTTGAGATAGGTATAGAAAGTTTTCTTCTCTCTATTATCCATAGAGAATACTCCTTTAGTTGATTAGTCCAAGATCTTGGACCATTGCGTCTTTCTTTGTTGTCAATTAGAGCTGGAGAAAAACTAAGAAAGAAAGAACTGGAGAATGAATCTTGATCCTGTAAAATAGAACATAAGAAAATAGAATGATTTCCCAACCACCATATGCTAGAAAGTTGTTGTAATTGTAGTTGATTATTTTCCTATATTCACCAATGGTAAGTGTTTACTGGTTTTTTGACCTTTGATTCTAGAAACAACAACTAACCTTCAATTAAAAATAAAAATTAAAAAAAAAAAAAATTTGACCAGAAAGCAGCACCTCAAAAAACTTCTCTACACCATCACCCAACATAGTCATTATACACATAATATTAATCGTACAACATATGGACTGTGTGGTACCTCTAAACTATGGGGCTAATTAGCAAAAGCTCCAGGTTCAAGTCTTAATAGCAGTCCTATTTTAGAGAGGAAACAACCAGTAATGACCCTTTTATTAAACTGTGTTATCTATTTATTTATGCATAATGTGTGTGTGCATGACTGCATGTGCATCACATGAGAAGAGTTTCAGTGAGAGATAACAAGAAAAAACCTGAAACCACAGATGTTCCAGCAGTCTGAGAATAATATATTCAGCTCTGCTAATAGATGGATATTTCCCCTTCTTAGTTAGCTCAACCATCGGTGTTGTCAACAGTTTTATTGAAAGCTTTTCTAAAACAAGAAGTAAATCAGTCGCAGATCCTTTAATTGTTTTAGAAGGAGACGACATGAGGTTGACAATAGGAAATATTACTAAAAGCTCTTCCCTTATTGAGGATGCAGCTCTCCCAACAACATAATCTGCCAAAGCAAGTATAATACCTCATAAGTAACACCAGCCAAATTAACTCTAGGAAATATATTAAAACACACCCAAAAAACCATTATAAAGAGCTCATGAACAGGTCTAATTAAGGCAAAAAACCAGGACATCTTTCTGGTAAATAAGAACACTACAAATATCATATATAACCTCAACTAAATTTAAATTCCCAAGATCCCTACTCCCTAGAGAAAATAAAGTATAAGAACCCTAAAATATAACTGCTCTATTACCTCTTCTGGAAGATAGGGATTCATAAAATCTAAAACTTACAAGAAACTTTGAACACAAAGATAAAAACTTAGACTACATCCTGGCATAATCAAAACATTCAAATTTCTGAAGAGTATTAAGCCCTTTAGAAAACAAAATGAATAGAAAGTAGTGGAAGTGCATACCAGTTTCACTTTTCCACTTGAAGAGGAAGTGGAGGAATTTCAATATAGAAAATTGTTCATGTTCAAGCTCTGACTCAACAAGGATAACAGACAAGGACATTATAACTGTTGATAATTCAGGTATGAATTGCAATGCAAGATCTTTCTGGACAGCCAAAAAATGCTTCAGTAGCTCAATTATTGGTTCAGTCCCACTATACTTGTAAGGAGAGGTACAGAGATCAAGCACCATCTCTAACAGTTTGACACTGTATAGTCGAGCATCAGCAATAAGCTCCTAACATGGGTTAGAACCAAAAAAGAAGAAGAAGAAGAAGAGAGAAGGCAACTATATTAAACCTCTAACAGCATTGATAGGTCATCAAGATATAACTAAGCATGAAGGATTCTATGACAAAGATAAATGGCATATGAATGAGATTCTAAAACTTACTGATCCTGTTTCAACCAACTGTCTCAACACCACTATAAATGAGTCTGTCATCCATTCCACAATGAAATTGAAATTCCTACTCTCCTGAAATTTTCAAGCATGGAGAACCCAATAAGAGAGGTTGCAAAGAGACTATCAATTTCAAAGTTATCAATTTACACTTCAAAAATGATAGCAGCTACCACAACATCACAGAATTCGATGCCAACCAAGTAGACTTACTTCTAGACTTCTTCGTGGAAAGTAGTTCAGGCAATTTGTAAGTAGCCTGAAAATTGGCATTGCCTCATTGGGAAATGTACAACAAAGCGATGCTATGGATGATACTAACTGTCTTGCAAACAAATATGATGAAGAATCCGAAAAGGGTATTCGTAAAATTGAAAAGTTCAGAAAGGGTCTCAAGAATTCGCAAACTTCCACTGATTGCTTATTCTGTGAAATGAACAACAAAACTTGGCGAACAAGTTCAGACTGAACCTCCACTCTGCTCAAAAGAATCTGCAACCCTTAAACATAATAGCATCAAATCAAATTCTCATTAGCATATCCATATTTTTTGCATCCACATTTTCCTGCAGAAAAGCTCAAGTACTACAATGAAAGCAAATTTGAGATACTTCAATATCACATAGCTCAAAATTTTTGAAAAAAGAAAACAGTTAAACAAAACCAAATTCTTCAACAGTTTGTAGCTAACAAGAAAGATTCCACAAATTGTCCATATAACCAAAAACACAAAGGCAATATTTCAGGAGAGTAAAGAAAGCTAGAAATTTTGCTAATTGTAAAGCAAGCTATTCTACTTCAAACTTAATCCAATTTGCCTACCTTAACAAAGGGATGGTTCTCATAGGACTCAACCCTCCAAGACCTATTGCTCCTCTCAAACCCAACACGAACAAGAAAACCCAAACCTTTCACAAAAATTTCAACGAATTTAGGGTCAGACCCTTCCAGTGCCGACTGGAGCTCCAGCAGCCCGCGAGGGAGATCCAATTTGGAGTCTGAAACGAGGCGGCAGAGCTCGCGAACCGACTGGTCCACAACCGCCACAGAAGAAGAGCACAGGCACCGAGATATAGCGTCGGAACCCGGTTCAGAATCAGCTCCCAGGTGACTCGGTGCTGACCGGAGCTTCGAGAAGATGGAAATTACAGCGAACTTTTGGAGCGTCGGTTGCGGCACTCGAGTTTTCTCGAGCAATGAAGTGTACGAATCCATCGTAGACAGACAGACAGACTCGACTACTCACGACGAGTAAACTCACCGGGTCGGCATTTTTGGAAGTGAAAGCAAAAATATAGGATTTTGCAGGTTCAATAAATAAAAAAAAATTAAAAAAAAAAATCTTTTTGATAAAAAGGAAAGATTTCTTAATGGGCTAGGCTCACTATACATTGTCCAGCCCCTAACTTCTGCGGACGTCCATTACTGTCGTTGAAAGTGCTAAATAAAGACACCCATCTATTCATTTGCCTCGGTTCCTCTGCCTACTACAACCTCCATGGTTGAAGTTGAAGACTTGAAGCTCCGAGCTTAAATTGGTATGATTCAAATCCAATCTGTTGTTCTTGATTCATTTTTATTATCAGGTTCATGATGAATCCAGGTTCCGTCAATTCTGTCAATCGAATACTAAAAAAATCACTCTTTTGTGCAAATTTCATACCAAAATCAACCTTTTCTGCTTCTTCCTTACAAATTATACCGACTCTGGAGTCGAAGTCTGTCTCTAGTCCACTTTTTCATTTGCTTCCTGAAAACCAAAACCCCAACAACATAGTCAATCTCGTTTGCTCTGCTCTCAAACAAGACAATTTTTCGTTGTCCCTTTTTAAAAGTGACATAAAAGGGCTTATTCCCCATCTGGGTACCCATGAAATCTCAAGGGTTCTATTGAGGTGCCAGTCTGATTCTACTTCCGCTCTCAGTTTCTTCAATTGGGTAAAAACTGATCTGGGTGTTAAACTTACAGCAGAAAACTATTGTTATATTATTCATATACTGGCATGGTCTCATAATTTCCCTGTGGCAATGAAATTGTTGTGTGAATTAATTTCTTTAGTTAAGGAATGTTCCCCTACTGAGGATGTTGTTAGAAGTTTGATTCTGTATAGGCAGGATTGTAATTGGAACCCTGTTATCTTTGATATGCTCATTAAGGCTTATGTGAAGGGGGGAATGGTTGAAGAGGGTTTTAGGACTTTTAAGAAGACTGTGGAGGCTGGTTATACCCCTAATGTGATTGCTTGTAACTGCCTTTTGAATGGATTGTTGGGGTCCAATTTTGCTGATGAGTGTTGGCAAGTTTATGAAGTGATGGGGAGAGTTGGGATTCGCCCAAATTCATACACGTTTAATATTCTAACTAATGCTTTCTGCAAAGTTGGAAATGTGGACAAGGTTAGTGACTTCCTGGAGAGGATGGAAGAAGAAGGGTTTGATCCTGATCTGGTGACATACAACACTCTGATTAGTAGCTACTGTAGAAAAGGGAGATTGGCTGATGCGTTTTATTTGTATAGGATCATGTACAGGAGGGGTGTGATCCCGGATTTGGTTTCATACACTGCATTGATGAAAGGTCTTTGCAAAGAAGGCAAATTGCGAGAAGCTCATCAGTTATTCCACAGAATGGTTCATCGAGGATTGAATCCAGACGTTGTATCCTACAATATTCTTATTTCTGGCTATTGCAAGGAGGGAAAGATGAAAGAGTCCAGAAACTTATTGCATGAGATGATAGGAAATGAAATTCATCCAGACAGTTTTACTTGTCAAGTTCTTATAGAAGGATATGGGAAAGATGGCAAGCTGCTTTCAGCTTTGAATTTGGTTGAAGAACTCAAGAGATTTCGGATTTCAGTGTCTTGGGATATTTATGACTATTTAATAGTCTCTTTATGTCAAGAGGATCGGCCTTTTGCAGCAAGGAATCTCCTTGAAAGATTATCTCAAGATGGTTACATCCCCAAACTGGAGATCTACAATGAATTGATCAAGTCCTTGTGCAGATGTGATAGTGTTAAAGATGCATTACTTCTGAAAGATGAGATGACATATAGGAATACAATAACTAATCTTGTTCCAACTGAGAATATTATGGTTAATTCTGCCACATATAGAGCTCCAAAAGTAAAGGCTAATCTTGTCACTTATCGAGCTCTTGTGTGCTGCTTGTGTAGAAAACAGAGATGTGAGGAAGCTGAATCCTTGATGGAAGAAATGCTCAAATCTGGTGTTCTTCCAGATGAAGAAATATGTCGGGCATTGGTACACGGATACTGCATGAAATCAGATGTTCAAAAGGCAGAGTCATTGTTGGTATTCTTTGCGAAGGAATATGAGATTGTTGATACGCATAGTTATAATGAACTTATAAGAGCAATTTCTAAGGATGGTGATATGGTGAAGTTAATGAAGCTTCAGGATAGAATGCTTAAAGTGGGGTTTGCTCCAAGTAGCCTTTCTTTCAAGTACGCGATCCATGGTTTATGGAATGCTATTGGATTGGATAAACAAAAGCTAATGGTGAATTGAAATAGGAAAAAAACCGTAGTAGTGCTGCACTTGACGTGCTAGGATGTGGTACAGTGCATATTTCCTTGGTTAGATGGCCTAAGAAAAACATATTGCATTATCCATTCTGGATCTCAATTTAAGACATTTTCGCTCGTGTTGGGTTTTTGGGTTTTCTGTGACGAAGGTTAAAAAGGTGGGAAGCGCATTGCAGGGAGGTCTTGGAAGGTGGAGGAACATTTGTGGAGTGGCTTTCCACATTCGTATATAATTCTTTCCTGCTTGTCTACCATTGCAAGTGCACATGCAAAAACTAGCGAAAACTTTCACTTCCTGCACGCTACGTAAACAGGACCAGCTCTTCCAAGTGAAATCACAGTGAGAGGGTATCTTGCAAACAACATTTTTTTATTTGGAGTGAATTTATCCATTTACCTTCTCTTATGTATTTAAATATGAGATGGACATCAAAATCTCAAATTTTCAACTACCATTAGATTTTGAAGTTTTCAATCCAATCGTTCACCTTCCATTTCTTTTCTTCATGAGTGGAGGAATCCCACCTAACCAACAACGCCAACATATTTACCTGTGTGGAAACAGCCTAAGTAATAATGTAATATTTTGCTTGCATGATCTCAGAAATTGTTTAATTTTAATCATCCTTCTCCCTGGATACCTTAATTTTGTGCGTTCTTCATTGAAAAGATTCAATATCAATAAGAAGAATGCGAACTGAACTCTTTAACAGCTTGTCTAAGAATTCAAGACAAAATTCAAAGACACCTCATAGGACTGATATCAAGTAAAATTCAAAGCATCTCAGTTCATCAAAGTGCATATGTGAAAAATAAAACTCAATCTAACCAAAACCAACAGGGGAGTTGCTCTGCTCAATGATACCCGTTATAGCATCCTGCACATAATGAATACTTGACAATCCATTTTGAGTTATTGTGAGTATACACAGATGTAAAACAAACCAGACCTCCAAGCAATAAAGTTAAGAAGTAACCAGTGCAGAATTTTAGAAAGCTAAGGAGGAGGGTGGAAAGGAGAAAAGAGAAAAAAAATGCATGAGGAAACAGCCTCTGATCTCAAGTCAAGTTCCAACCAGAATTGACATTTCTGTACATCTGCATGAATCAGTGAAACCGTGCTACCGACCAAACCAACCTCTTTGCGGCTGCACTTCACCATCATTCATCAGCTTATCCAGCACCACATTAAGATCAACACTCTGACCACTCTCAGTCAATTTTCGGACAGTTGCTCTCACATGGTCTCTCGGAAATCCCATGCTCGTTACTTTGTCAACCACCTCATCAATGGGAACCCTGTTTCCAGATTGAGGAGAACCTGACCCACCACCAACACCAGAAGCAGTAGGCAATGCATGTGGTAATACCCTAGCAGTTGGAAGATGTGGATAACCACTTCCGCCACCTTGTGGCATGGGGGGAGAAACAAGTTGCTGTGTCTTCATTGTAGCACCACTACCATACTGTGAAGGTGATCCACCATAAGCATATGGTTCACTAGGCACAGATGGTGGAACAAATCCAGTAGAAAACCCACCAGATCTGCTTGGTGGTTGCTCATACATATGTGGTGGAGCCCCATAATACTGTTGGGTGGGAGCTGACCCACTTGGTGGCTGAGATGGTGGCTGGCGTAAGTTTGGTGCATAGCCCTGAGAAGGAATGTAAGGTGGCTCTTCAGGATGGTGAACTACTGGAGGTTGATGTTGAGGCGGCTGTGGTGGGGCTGGTGGCTGAGAATACTGTGGTTGAGAAGGTGGCTGATATGGTTGATGTGGTGGTGCAGCAGGAGGAGGCTGGGGTTGCTGGGTAGGAGGCACTTGATATTGCTGATTTGAAGCTTCTTGAGTTTGAACAGGGGGTGGAAAGTAAGGGTCTCGTTGAGGGACAGAAGGAACCTGGCTCTGAGGGAATTGGTTTGGATGCTGAACTGAAGGTGGCAGATTCTGCTGGGTAAGAGCTGGAGGAGGAACAACAGGAGGAGCAGGAACTGGAGGTTGTGATTGTGGAAAAGAGACCGCATGAGGAAGTGGTTGGTGAGACTGTACAGGAGCAGATGCAGCTTGCTTCACAGAATCCATATGCATAGTGTTCTGAGTTTCAGATGGCTGATCTGCCTTGGAAACCTGCAGCTTCCCAAGCTGCAACTGTGCTTCCATAATGTCTTGCTTATCCTTTAGAACCTGTACACCTGTTTGTACCTGCATGTGGTTGACAACACAAATCAACTCAGTAAAATTATCAGAATATCCCAAATAAAGATTGGCATTACTTTTAATGAAACCTAACACACAGTGTCCCTGATAAAATGTCAGAATGCAGTAATTGCTTATATCAATGGCAATAACCTAAGTTGGAGGAACTTCCTGAAAGCAGTTTGGTCAATATCACTTGACTAGTACATCTTCCGTAGCAAGATGATACTGGAAAATTTTTTCCTCAGCCCCAATATCCTTGTCAGGAATTGGAAGGAAAGAAGAGACTTTGAAACTATAAAATGCAGCAACAGGGATTTGTATTCTAGAATTTGAAAAAGGGCGAGCTTAACTAAACACTTGATTTACAAAGCTCCCATTTAAGTTCATCATTCACATCCATACTCTTACAAATAAAAGATAATGACAAATGGGGGAAACAATTTCTATCTTCTAACTAAGAAAAGATTAAGGGCTCCCAAGGCTTAACTTTGCATTCTGTAGAACAAGTCTAAAAAGAATCAATAAACTCAAACTAGTTATTACCAGACAAACCTGAGAACCGGTAAATCTGTAATATTTACAAGTCTTTAATATTTATGCATAAAATTGAATCAACCTTAAGCCAAACTTAACCATACTAATATATACTATCAGAGAACTCAACTTAAATTCATTAATTTATACATGACAAACCCGAAAAGCCATAAATCTCTCATTTCCTCGTATAGATTTAAAGATACCTCTCTTAAGATATTCTCGAGCTGTCTCATTTTCCCATCAGTGCTCCCGTGATTGTTTCCAACTGATACCTTCAAATCATCAACAGAAGCTTCAAGCTGACGGGTTCTGCTCTCCAGCTGCGTCAGCCGCGCACTAACTCCTTCCAACACATGCATCAAATTATCACAATGTTTCTTCATTGTGCGATCAATCTCAGACACTATTCCCATGTCTGCAGCAGTACGATCTTTCTCCAGCATCATCTTTGAAGGTTCATTAGAGTGAAGAGAAGTATAATTCTGTGCGCCAAAAACAAATTAATTACCATTAAAAGAAACTAGAACATCCAAAAAACACAACAAATTCGCACACCCAAATGGAAATCAGAAGTGGGGTTTTAGATTTACCGTGGGTTTAGAATCAATAGAGCTCCAGGCCCTGGAGTTTGCCGATCCCCCAATACCAGAAGCCCCATCAAGGTGGGTGGTGGTGACAGGTCGGATGGGCTGGAAATCATAGCTGGGGAAGATTTCCTCCTTCTTAATTCCATTATCAGCGGCACCAAGCGAGGTGCTTCTGCTCTGATTCCCGTAATCATCCTCTTCCTGTGGGTGGTTCATCAGATCGATAAAATCTTTGCCCACGGTGCTGTTGTTCGGGGAAGAAGACGAGGCCGTCAGGTCCATTATTTGTTTGTCCATAAACTGCGACGCATTCATCGATTGAACTCAAAGATTGAAGCTGAAATTTTTGAGGGAAAACGGAGAAAATTTGAATAGGGTTTTCGAGAATAGGGCGGAGATGGAGATTTTAGGGGAAGAAATGGATTGACTCTTGCGGAAAACAATTCCTTTCTTTTGGGTTTTCTTTGGGAAGACGGATGCAGTACGATGATTATTAGATTAATTGAATTAAATCTTTTTCAGAACACTCTTTTTCTCTTCTTTTATTTCGATTCCGGGCAGAAAATTCTTCTGAATCCTGTCTTCTACTTTACGTCTTCGCGTGAAGGTTGGGTACAAGTCGCAAGCCCATTAAAAAATGGGCTTTAGATTATAAACCCATTACAAAAATCCAAGGAACTGTGGACTGAATGTTTACAGAGGTCCAAATCAGATGTACTGTATGACCAAGCCCATTAATTAATTAATTGAGCAAATGTTACGGTCTTTCAGGGTTTCTAACTTCCTATATTACCGTTTTGCCTTTTTTTATGTACTGAGCAATGTGCATCGGAGAAGAAAAGGCTTTATCCATCGAAATAATAATATGTAAACTTTTTATATTGGATTAGTTGTTTATAATCTAAAACAGTCATAATTATAAAATATTTTTTCATTTTATATTAGTAATATTCAATTATCAAGTCGAGCTTCAGTGTTAGGGTAGTATGATTTTTTACTATAATATAAGGATAATTTTTTATATTATATTTTTATATAATTTTTATATATTATTAAATGAGTGAATGTATTTAATATAATAAATATAAAATGAATAAAAATAATTAATTATTTAAATGATATATAAAGTTATATAAAAAGTAATATAAAAATATTATTCTAAAATCATTTTCTTTTATTTTTTTAAAACAAATGAAATTTTTGAGGAAGCGAAGGGAATATTACAATTATCTCAAAAGAAACCTTTTTTTTTTTAACAAATTTGCAAGAGTTAAATTCGAACAGATACTTGAGGGGAGAAGAATGCACTTTAAACATAATTTAACGCAATTGAAGCCGACGACTCAAGTATCTCAAAAAAACTTAAATCTTAATATAAATTAAGATTCTTATTATAAACCATCAACCTACCTAAAACTGTTAGTACAATGTTAGTGTAGTATGATATATCATTACAAACTATCAAAGATAAATTATTAGTACTATTTTTCTTAACATGGAACTAATCATTTTCCTATGGCAGTTTTCTGAGATCGAATTTGATCCACTAGTGGAACAACTATTTGTGTCTATGTAATCCAAGACATTATACATAGGTGAACATTTCTTGAAAATTCTATGATACAAAGGATATAATAGTGAATAATAATAATTAGTTTATTACTTATGTTAATTACAACTTATTAACTTATAATTAACATACTTCTGAAATCGGAAGCAAGCCTCCGTTAAAAAAAAAGAAAAAATGGCATTGTTCTGAAGCCCAACAAATATTCCTAGCTTAGAACAAGTAATCGATTGTGGACAATCCGGACTGACTAGACCATGGCACATGAACAACAACCATGTGTTCCTCGTACTCGAAACCGACGTCGTTTCCGTCAACTTTACAAGCTTTGGGTTTTTCAGATGCGAACATCCTCGTCTCGCCGGCTCCTCTAACTCCGATTCGGACCGAACTCTGCGACCCATCATAGGCCAACGACTGGACGGCGCCGCCGCAATTCAGCATGTTCACCAGCCCAATGGGTGCGAACTGGATGGACTTTCCTGGCAGGACTGTTACTGGGGAGACTGTTATGAGCTCGAAATTGAAAGGGTCCAGCGCGATTTCGATGTCATCGGTTGGCTTGGAGAGGACCAGCTTCTTGGCCTCGGAGAAGTACAAGGCGAATACTTGGACGCCTTCGACGGAGATCGGGTTCTTGCCACTCTTCCATTCGATGTCTTTTGGGTTGGTCTTGGTGGTCACCTGATGGGAATACTCGGAGGCGCATTTGTTGCGGCGGCTTTCCCGGCACCATCCTCCTCCTTGGCAGTTGAAAACTCCGATCACACCAGTATACTGTTTAAAAAATTGAAAAAATCTGTCAGATAAACAAGTTTCGGAATTTAATTCAGAGAAAAAAAAAAGTTTGATTCTGAATCAGAAAATTAAGACCAACCTTGTTGAGATTCCAGATTTTGAGCATGGTTTTGCCATCATGGAGAGGGTCTTCAAAGAGGCAGTCTCTGGTCGGTAGAGCATAGTGATCACAACGGAGGATGGAACCATCGGGCAAGACGAGGCGTTTCAGCAGCTCAAAGTTGTGTTTCCCGACTGAGTCACTGACATAGATTGGACCACCAGAGATAGCCCTGGAGGCGGCGTGGAAAGCGGCGCAGGGGTGGGTGGACTGGAACATGTCCCAGTCGGGGTGGATGAAGTTGCCCATCCACAGGCTGTTGTAGGCGCAGTGCACCATGTGGCATCCTTGAAGCCAAAAGGTTCCGTTCGGGTCACCCGATGGATCCGTGCACCAAAAATCATCCCCTACAAAAGGCCCAAGAAATATCAGAACCAGGCTTTTGACCCAAAAGTATAAAATTGAAATGATGAATTAACTTTAGAGTGTGTGGCATTGAAATCTAATATATTTTAAATTTAAAAATAATTTTTTATTAAATTAACTAATTATTTTTAATTAGAATTTTGATTCTTCCTCACCACTAACCAAAATATGATTTAATTTTATTATTTTTTAATCTTAATTACATAAGAAAAGATAATAATTTTTTTTATTTCACGTCACATGTATTACACATCATATGATTTGAATTTAAAATATTTTATTTTTAAAAAAAATTATTATTAAATTATTTAAGTTATTAACAAATTTAATTCTACTATTAAATATTAATTAATTAAACAAATTATTGATAATAAAAAGAAATTAAACTAATTACTTACCAACACGGCCGAGGCAGATTGCTTCCGTTCCAAGGAACATGAAATCGTTACAGTGCTCCATACTGGCGATGACGCCATTGCCGTTGAAGTGTTTCCTAACGGAAGCAGTTAAAGCCTTGAAATAAGCTTTCGCCAAGTCTACCCTCCCTCCATAATTCTCAGACAACATTTCTAATAACTGTAGTACAAAATGGAAAAAATTTAGCTAGTCAGATTTTCAAATGTACTTATCTTATTTTTCTAAATATGATTGGTCTAAAAAATTCAATAACGTGCCGACCAAATACTTTAGGCTAGTGGATAACGTAGGACGGTTAGTTTTGACTTACGTGGATAACGTCCACTTTGACTCCATCAATGCCAACGTTCTCCAAGTGGGAGTGGAGCCCTTCGTACATCTGGTCGACGGATTCAGGCGGGACAAGGCCAATGCCAGTGCTGACGATCTTGTCGACGGCGAGATCCTCCATAGTCATCTGGAGTCCCGGCGAGAGTTCGGGTTTTATGATCTTGTTTTTGGGTAACCGGGGAACGTTGGGTCTCAGGCCGCCCCAGTACCCACATAGGGCATGCCAGACGTAGACGTAGTCGACGGTGTTGTATTGGTCCTTGAGGTCCTTGATAAAGGCACCCATGCCCTTATTTGAGGAACTTGGGCTGAGATACTCCCTGAATTTGTAGTTCTCTTGGAATTTGAGAAGACGGCAGGGCATCTGCTCCCCGGCGACGGTGCAGTTCATACCTTCTTTGGTGATGGGATCCTCATCATGGCCAATTGACTGCCACCCATCGTCGATTAACACCAGCCCAGGTGGGCAGCCGCCTTCAACGAGGTCCTTGACGCCCTCCATGACTCCCTGAGGGTGCACCGTAAGATAAAATGCATCCCAGGTGCACCATCCGAATTTGTCAACAATTCCGGGTGGGGTTTTTTCATCCAGAAGCCGGAATGTGCCGAGATGGGTGCGAATCACCTTCATGGCGTCCTTCAGCAGAGTGAAAGGATCGTCTCCGACGTGAACGTACAGAACACTCCGGAAACTGGAGGCGGTGACCTTGGTGGAGCCACTTTCCACACAGATATCAACATTGTCATCACGACCCGGCTGCAGAGAGGCACGGAAAGGACCTTCAAGGAGAGGAAGCAGTAGAATATAAGGTCGGCCAGCGTCGGATTTCTCCAGAATGACCATCTGGGTCTCGTGCTCCAAGTCTCCGCCGTTGGATCCGACCCAGTGAGTTGTCCACCAGACCTTGAACCGGAAAATGCTCATGAACCGTATGTTCTTAAGCTTCCCAATCGGCACTACATGACGGCTACTAGACTCAAGTGCATCGAACCCCACAAAAGCCCCAACAGCAGACACAGATTTACCGGTAGAGAAACAAGGGTAAGCCGATGGAGTCAGAGTAACATTATCAGGGACATCGGAGAGAAAGACATGGCCATTAGCCACAAAATTCGATCCGTCTATAGTGATTGGAGACTGACCATGTTCACCGTCAACGACGGTGGTAATGTCGGAGCTAACTTTGCTCAAACTGGGAGCCATATTGACCCAAAAAAACAGAGCAGAAAAAGAGTGTATAGTGAGCAGAAGAGTTTAGGGAGGTGTGGAGAAGGAATAACAGGGGAGGGTTTA